GCGGGTGCCGGGTGCGGTGACTCGGGTGCGGGTGCGGGTGCCCGGTGACTCGGGTGACTCGGGGCCGGGTGCCGCAGACAGAGGCGAGGTGCGCACATGACTCAGCAGACGGTGCCGAGGGACGCGGTGTCCCCGGGGCACCTGGGAGGAGGAGGAGGAGGAGGAGGAGGAGGAGGAGGCTCAGGAGATGCCTGGCGGCGGGGGCTGCTCGGCAGAGGGAGAGCACTCTCTGGGGAAGCGGTGCCCGGTGCTGGGGGGTCGCTGGCGGCGGGGATGCTGGCACTGGGGGATCCCCTGTTTCCCGGCCATCCCCGTGCTGCCCCGCTCTGCCCTGCAGCGCTGTCCCTCCGGTGCATCGGGAGAGGCGTCGGAAGAGGCAGTGAGGGGGCTGTGCCTGTCTTAATGGTGGCCTTTTCCTCAAATTTTGAATTTTTGGGTTCAAATGTGCAGGTCAATAACAACCCCTGACCATGTGTTGGGGTGTGCAAAAAGCTCTATAAACTCCTCTACCATCTGATCCAAATAATGAAATGGGGTGGAACAGATGTGTAGAAGCTGGATCAGTGACCATGAGCCTGTGGCCACCAGCTCTGATATGTTCCTGCTTTTTCCAAACAGCCCTGACACCAAACTCCACCTTTTTTCCTCTTTTCTGTCCAAAATGCCATCTCTTCCCCCCCTTCCCAGGAAAGACCTCTTTCCAAGTTGTTTCCTTCTGTTCTCTTCTGTAAAATCAAAATCCAGATCACATTTTCCCAATTTCCCACATTCTGGATGGCACATGTGCTGCTTTCTTGCCTTTTCCTGTCACTTCCCAAGTGGTTTTGGCCGTGGGGGCCGGGACACGCGATGAGCAGAGGAGGGAGAGAAAGAACAGGGAGAAACAGCGAAACCCGAAGCTGGGAGCTGATGGCTCTGATCCCACATGTGCGGGGCTGCTCCCCGCCTGCATATTTTGGGATCCAAATGCTCAGGATTTTTCTGCCATTTTCTCTCCAAGCTGTGTTTATTGAGTTGCTGTGAAGGCTTTTTCGGGAAACAAGGATGGGGTTTGGACTGGGCACCCATCAGGATTTCCAGATCCCGGTTCTGGTGGGGTTCAGAGGTACTGAGGAGTCCGTGACAGCTCGAGGAGCCCTGACAGCTCTGTCACATTTCTTCATCTGCCTCATCCACCGATTGAATCCCCTCCCCTGCAGGGATTTGAAAGCTGTGTGGATGTGGCACTTGGGGACAATGGTGGGTTAGTGGTGGCCTTGGCAGTGTTGTGATCGGGTGGACTTGATGATCTCAGAGGGCTTTTCCAGCCCTCTGTGCACCTGGGGCTCTGTGAGTCTGTGATGCCCATTCCACCAGGACAGACCCAGCACAACATGTCCCTGTGTCTGTCACTGAGCCAGAGGCTCACGCTGATCCCGGCACAGCAGCAGCCCGGGATGCCCTCAGCTCCTGGGATGCGCTCGGTTCCTGGGACGTGCTCGGTTCCTGGGATGTGTTTGGCTCCTGGGATTCCCTCGGTCCCTGGGATCCCGGGATTCCCTCGGTCCCTGGGATCCCGGGATTCCCTCGGTCCCTGGGATCCTGGGATGCCCTCAGCCCCTGGGATCCCGGGATTCCCTCGGTCCCTGGGATCCCGGGATTCCCTCGGTCCCTGAGATCCCGGGGTTCCTTCAGTCCCTGAGATCCCGGGATTCCCTCGGTCCCTGGGATCCCGGGATTCCCTCGGTCCTTGAGATCCCGGGATTCCCTCGGTCCCTGGGATCCCGGGATTCCCTCGGTCCCTGGGATCCCGGGATTCCCTCGGTCCCTGGGATCCTGGGATGCCCTCAGCCCCTGGCAGTGCCGGGCAGCCGCTCCCCCCTGTGCCCACAGATCGCGTCCCTGCTCAAGGACCACGAGCGCATCCAGGCCAGCCAGAGCAGCGCGCCCAGCGACGATGACAGCGACATCAAGAAGATCAAGAAGGTGGGTGGTGGCGAGGGTTGGCACGGCAGACGTGCTCCCTGCGGGGCTGAAGGAGGTGTCTGAGCAAGTGCTGCTGTCTGCAGGGTTTTTAGGGGAAAATGCGTTCTGCCCAAGTGGGAGCTCGTCTCTTGGCAGGGCACTCCCGGCAGTCCCGGGAGCACGAGGTGTCCCGGCCAGTGCTGCTCCTGCACCACCAGCCCCTCTGACTTCTGTTCCCATGGCTGTCACAGCTGTTATTTTGGCAAAGGAACAGCCAGCACCCCGGCAGAGTTCCCACAGGGAGCAAGAGACCGGCCCCGGGCACCCCCGTGCTGGGGCCGGAGCTCTGGGCACAGAGCAGGACCTGCTGCAGGTGCTCAGTTACACAAGGGAGGGATCTTAAACCTCCTCTCCTTCCACCCCATCGTGGGCTGCCACACCCTCCGCTATCCCAGCTTGCTCCAAGCCCCATCCGACCGTCCCGTGGGCACTTCAGGGACGGGGCAGCCGCGGCTGCTCTGGGCAGCCTGTGCCAGGAATTTACGGGATTCCCAGCCTGGAGGGTTCGGAGCAGCAGCGGGAAGGGGCAGCACACACACACACACACACACAGAGCCAGGGAACCTGCCGGCTGCCCCGTGCCGAGCCGGGGTCCCTGCCTGGCCCCATCCCGTCCCTGACTGCCAGGCACCGCTCCCTCAGGTGCAGAGCTTCCTGCGGGGCTGGCTGTGCCGGAGGAAGTGGAAGACCATCATTCAGGACTACATCAGGTCCCCCCACGCTGACAGCATGCGCAAGAGGAACCAGGTGGTGTTCAGCATGCTGGAGGCTGAGGCCGAGTACGTCCAGCAGCTCCACATCCTCGTCAACAACTTCCTGCGGCCGCTGCGGATGGCAGCCAGCTCCAAGAAGCCGCCCATCACACACGACGATGTCAGCAGCATTTTCCTCAACAGGTGAGCTCTGCCCTGGGCTCCTGGAGCTCTGTGGCACCCCAGCAGCTCTGGGCACCCTCTGCCCAGTGCCAGGGCTCCCCGGGGGTCTGCAGCTCCATCCTTCCTGTGCCTCCAGGAGCCCTCTGCACTGCCTGGAGCAGCTGCCCCCAGCCAGCCCAAGGGCTGCCCTGCTCCCCCTGGCCTGGGGGTTTTCTCTCATTCCTCGTTATTTACCTCTTGTTCATCTCTTTGTTCTTGGTTTGGCTCAGTCCTCTCTTGGTTCCTTTTCCAGCGAAACAATCATGTTTTTGCACCAAATTTTCTACCAAGGCCTGAAGGCGCGGATCTCCAGCTGGCCCACGCTGGTGCTGGGTGAGTGCTGCTGCCTCCTCCTCCTCCTCCTCCTGCTGCTCCTTCTCTCCCTGCAGCTCCACAGCATCATTTGCCAACCAGCAGCAAAGCACTGTGCCACTGCACACCGTGTCCTCGCTCGGCTGTGTCAGCCAGAGTGAAAAGCCCAGTGACCAAACTCTGGTGTTCCTGGCTCTGCTGGGAGCTGAGGGCTGGGACTGACCCGTGCACAGGGAGGCTGATGCTGGAGAGCACCACTGTGTCCCATCAGACCCTCCTTAAACTCGGGCTGGGCAGAGCTGGGGCCACCAGGAGGGCTCGGGGCCGCTCTGGGTGGCTGAGGGGGCTCAGGGGGCTGTGCTGGGCTCCCCTGCTGGAGCAGCCCACCCACAGCCCCTGCTCTGCCTGCAGCCGACCTGTTCGACATCCTGCTGCCCATGCTGAACATCTACCAGGAGTTTGTGCGGAACCACCAGTACAGCCTGCAGATCCTGGCCCACTGCAAGCAGAACCGCGACTTCGACAAGCTGCTCAAGCACTACGAGGCCAAGCCTGACTGCGAGGAGAGGACCCTGGAAACCTTCCTCACCTACCCCATGTTCCAGGTGACCCTGGAGCCAGGGCTGGCCCCAGGGCCCTGAGGGAGATGGGGTAGACAGTGCAAACCCCATCCCCACAGCTGGCACTGGATGGAGGGAGGGCAAAGCCGGGGTGAAGGGGGCCTGGGGCTGGAGCCTGGTGGTCCCAGATGGCTCCTGGGACCTGCCTGGGCCATCACTGGGGGAGGACTTGGGGGGCTCCCCAGTTATCCTGAACCTCTGGGACTGGGGCAGGGAGCGGCAGGGCCCTGGGCACAGCCCCACCTCGTTCCCCCTCTTCATTCAGCTTTGGCACAAGGAGCTTTGAAGCTTTAACCACTCAGATCAGGGTGTCCCCAGCCATGGCAGGAGCAGCCCAGGGTGGGCCCTGCTGTCCCCAGTGACCTCTGCTGTCCCCAGTGACCTCTGCTGTCCCTCGTGCTGCAGATCCCCCGGTACATCCTGACCCTGCACGAGCTGCTGGCCCACACGCCCCACGAACACGTGGAGAGGAACAGTCTGGATTATGCCAAGTCCAAGCTGGAAGAGCTGTCCAGGTGAGAGCTGCTGATCCATCCTGGGGTGTGGGACGGGTCCTGGCTGCTCCTGGCCAGGGGCAGGGTATCCCAGGGCTCCTGGATGGTGAAATGAGGGCTTTGGAGGACTGGGATGGCTCCGAGTGGTTCTGTGGCTGGTGATGGGGGGATCTGTCTGCCCTAAATCTGAATTTTGTGATGTCCAAGCACTCACATTTGAATATTTATCAGCCTGGAGGTGCAGTCTGGGCAGATGTACAGGTCTGGGGCTCCTGGCTCTGCCTGGGTGGATAATGCCGTAATTCCCTTGACATTCCTTCGGTTTTGGTTTTACCTGGTGCAGCCCCACCCTGTGTCCAAAGGGGTTGGGAAAACGCGTGCAGATCCCATCCAGCTCCGATTCTCTCCCCTCCATCCTTCAGGATAATGCACGACGAAGTGAGTGAGACTGAAAATATTCGGAAAAACCTGGCAATAGAGAGGATGATCATCGAGGGTTGTGAGATCCTGCTGGACACCAGCCAGACCTTTGTCAGACAAGGTCTGTGTCTGTGCCAACATCCCTCCCCTCTGTGGTGAACGTGAGCCCCTCGGCCCTGCCCCTGTCCTGTGTGCTCCGGTGGCCTGTGAAATTTAAATATATCTAAAAAATTTAGAAATTGATAAAATTTGAAAATTCTAAAATTTAAACATTTATTGATTTATAAAATGTAAATTTTTAAGAAGATAATATTTTTATAAAAAAGAAAAAATTTATAAATTTAAGAACATAAAAATTTAAAAATATAAAAAATTAAAAATATAAAAATTTAAAAATGTAAAAATGAGTTTTCAGTGATCAGAAGCACATCACGTTCGGGCAGTTCTGGCACTTTGGGGCAGTTCTGTCGCTGCACTGCTGCACGTCGTGGCAGTGCAGGAGCTGCATTTTGGCCGCTCCCGGTGGTGCAGGCCGAGCACGCTGAGCTCCCGGTGCCGGGATGGGGGCACAGCTGGGCTGAGCCCGTGTCCCCATCCCTGCAGGCTCCCTGATCCAGGTGCCCATGTCGGAGAAGGGGAAGATCACGCGGGGCCGGCTGGGCTCGCTGTCGCTCAGGAAGGAGGGCGAGCGGCAGTGCTTCCTCTTCTCCAAGCACCTCATCATCTGCACCCGCGGCTCCGGGGGGAAGCTGCACCTCACCAAGGTGAGGCCCTGGCGGCTGCTGCTGCTCCCTGGCCACGGGCACGGGCACAGGTGGCCCAGCTGTGGCCCAGCTGTGGCCCAGCTGTGTCCCGAGCTGGCCGGGCTCTTGGCGACTCCTCGCCCTCCACTGGCGAGCTCCAGCTGGGAGCCTGAGGCCACCTGAATTTATTTCACGTGGTCCTTGTCTCATCACGGGAGAGATGAGAAACTACAAGATCCCGATAAAAGAGTTTACCCTGATTTGCAGCAGAAACGTTGACAGTTTGTTCTGGAAGAAACTGGAAGCACAGCCTGGGCTGTCTGTAGTGCTCCCGGCTCCTCTGCTTGCTCCCTGGGCTCCCGTGTTTATTTGGGGAAGTTTGGCACTTAATTGAGCAAGAATCTTACAGAAATTGCTTGTTACTGGCATTAAATTATCGGTTTGAAGAATTACAGTCCGTGGCAAAGAGCTGATAATTGCAACAACAGACTTTGGGAAAATTAAATTTAAAGCTCCTATTAAATAATTTATAAACAAATTAGCTGATCAGTTTGACAAGGAAAACCCAGAGATCCCAGCAGGCACAGATGTTTTTTCCCAGTGCAAGCAGGCGCTGTGTGTGCCCCCCTCCCCTGAGCTGTGTGTGCCCCCCTGGGGACATGGACCTGTCCCATCCCCGGGCTGGGGGACAAGGACAGAGGAGCCGCCAGCCCCTGGGGGGGTCCCAGTGCTGAGCCCTGACTCCTGCCCTGGCTGGGGCTGTTCTGGGGGGCCGGGGGATCCCCAGCCCCCGGGGTCCCAGTGCTGAGCCCCCCTTCCCCCTGCAGAACGGGGTGATCTCCCTCATCGACTGCACGCTGGTGGAGGAGCCCGAGAGCACCGACGAGGACGGTACGTGCTGGGGACGTGGCTGGGGGTGGCTGGTAAGGGGAACAAATTCAGGTGCCAACAGATTCAAGGAATCCACCATTGGTTTAATTAGATTAATTATTTACTGTGAACCACACTCAGGCAGACCTGACCTTCCTAGGGCAGCCAACAGCCCACAAAAACCTGAATAAACCCTCCCTGAAACATGACTAAAGCCCTTGCTGGGAGAGAGGGGATGGGAAAGGCTTTCCCAATCATTGTGTGGGGTTTTTCTCTTCCAAAGCCAAAACATCAGGACAAGACATTGACCACCTTGACTTCAAAATCGTGGTGGAGCCGAAAGATTCCTCATCCTTCACCGTTATCCTTGTGGCCTCGTCCAGGCAGGAGAAGGCTGCGTGGACCAGTGACATCAGCCAGGTAGGACCCAGCATTGCAGGGGTGTGGAGCTCTCGGGATGAGGGAGGAGCTACCATGGGGTCCCTGCTGGGCTGTGGCACCTGTTTGGGCACGCAGGTGAACACTGGCATTGCCGTGTGCTCCCACCGCCTGCCCCATGCCTGGGTGTGCCCCCCGGGAGCTCTCGGGACCTGCAGTGAGCAGGATGTGCCCCATGCCTGGTGTGCATCCCGGGAGCTCTCGGGACCTGCAGTGAGCAGGATGTGCCCATGCCTGGTGTGCATCCCAGGAGCTCTCGGGACCTGCAGTGAGCAGGATGTGCCTGGGCTGGAGAGAGCCCAGCCTGGCTTCCTCCACCTCCCGCTCGTGTCCCTCACAGTGCGTGGACAACATCCGCTGCAACGGCCTGATGATGAATGCCTTCGAGGAGAACTCCAAGGTCACCGTGCCCCAGATGATCAAGTGAGTGTGGAGAGGGCCGGGACGCAGCTCCCGTGGCAGCCAAGCGCTGCCAGGAGCCTCGGGACCAGTGTGGCTCCCCGGGACCCCCACGGCCTCCCGTGCGCTCCGTGGGCTGCTGCAGTGCGGTGATGAGGAGCGTTAATGAGCCGTGTGCTGGGGACGTGGGGATGGCAACGGGGAGAGCTTGGAGAAAAATAACAATAGGAAAGGGGGGGTAGAAGTGCCAGAAGGGAGGGGCACGGGGGCTGTGGTTCTGCAGGTGCTGGGGTGCAGAGGCTGTGCTGGGACACGTGTGGGACGAGGAGGGCTGGTCCCAGCGGTGGGACGGGGCAGCATGGGGCAGGAGCTCGGTTTGTGTGCATCTGGGGATGGCCCATCCACATCCCTCTGCCTGCTGAGCACTCTACCCGTCCCAGGGTGTGGATTCCCAGGTTTTCCCACCCGGGTTTTCCATGGGGACACCCCGTACGAACAGGGCTCCTTCCTGCACCACTTTCCATGGTCTCTTGGTTTCGTTCCAGGCTGGAACCACAGATATCTTGTTTCTCTGCAGGTCTGATGCCAGCTTGTATTGTGATGATGTTGACATTAGGTTCAGTAAAACGATGAATTCCTGCAAGGTCCTGCAGATCCGCTATGCCAGTGTGGAGCGGCTGCTGGAGAGGCTGACAGACCTGCGTTTCCTGAGCATCGACTTCCTCAACACCTTCCTGCACTCCTACCGCGTCTTCACCACCGCCCTCGTCGTCCTTGACAAGCTCATCACCATCTACAAGAAGCCGATCAGCGCCATCCCTGCACGGTGAGGCTGCAGGGCTGCCCGGGGCCTGTCCTGTCCCTGGGACACCCTGGCACTGCGGCACTGCTCCGTGACACAGGGGAGGGAGATGAATCCAAGCCCTGCAGGAGTCCCCGCTCCCGGGAGGGCCCCGTGCTGGCCGTGGGCTGGTGGGGCTGCTGTTGGCTCTGCTGCGCCTGGGGGGATGCCCTGGGGTCCCAGTGCCACGGGGGGATCCCCACCACCTCCTGGGCAGGGCAGGTGCCAGCTCAGCCTCTCCCTGTCCGTCCCAGGTCCCTGGAGCTCCTGTTTGCAAACAGCCAGAACAACAAGCTGCTCTATGGGGAGCCCCCCAAGTCCCCCAGAGCCAACCGCAAGTTCTCGTCGCCGCCGCCGCTCTCCATCAGCAAGTCATCGTCCCCCAGCCGCCGGAGGAAGCTGTCCCTCAACATCCCCATCATCACCGGGGGCAAGGCGCTGGACCTGGCGGCGCTGAGCTGCTCCTCCAACGGCTACGCCGGCGTCTACTCCTCCGTGGCCCCCTTCAGCAAGACCACCCTGGACATCAACAAGCTGTACGTGTCCAGCACCTATCCCAACAAAATCCCAGACGAAGGAGAAGCGGCCTCGGAAAAGCAAGAGGAGTCGCTGCCGGGCAAGCAAAGTGAGTCCCTGAGGGCTCGGGGATGGGGGGCTCTGGCACAGAGGGGCCAGTTTAGGTGCACACACAGAGAGCTCCTGCCTCCTGAATCCTCAGTCATTTTTAATAACAAAACAAAAAATACCTCCCAACCTTCCCCCCCTCACCTCAAAGGAAAATCCTGTCCCAAAATATCCCACAGAAACTCTGTGCCTTTCCTGTGCATGATGGCTGCATCCAAAGCTGGAATGGGTCAGACTTCAGGAAAATGGGGAGGAAGGGTGGCTGTGTTTGTGTGCAGCGGGTGTAAAAGGGTTCCCTGTTCCTCCCAGGCTCAGAGGTGTCTGTCAGGGAGGAGTCAGACACAGATCCCAACCACAGCGATGAAGCAGAAGCTGAAGCTTCCCCAACGAAATCTCCGACGACTCCCAAGTCCATCAAGTGCAAAAATTCATCAGGTAACGAGTGAGGTCTGGGGGTGCTGGTGTGTCGGGGGGCTGGCACGTGTGGGGAGCTCTCCTGGCAGCAGCGGTGCCCACGGGGTGCTGGATTTCTTCTCCCCCAGATTTCTCGCTGTTCTCCTACAACAACGGCATGGTCATGACGTCCTGCCGGGACCTGGACAGCGCCCGCAGCGCCGTGTCCGCCACCTCCGCCTTCGCCATCGCCACGGCGGGGGCCAACGAGGGCACCCCCACCAAGGAGAAATACCGCAGGATGTCCCTGGCCAGCGCAGGTACCTGCCCGAGGCCGTGCCTTTGGGGTGCCCGTTTCCACCCTTCCAAGAGGGGATTCCCTCCAGGTGCACT